GTCAATTCTATCTACTAAATCTATTTCTATCATCATAATGAAATCAGAATGAAAATCATAACATTTCCTGACCTAAAACAATTTTAGCCCAAAATGAAGGAACCGTATTCATGGTCTCTTGGTGTGCAGTAAAGACTTTAACTCAATGGCTTAGGATGTTCAAAACCTGCTCTATCTGAGGAAAGGACTGGCCTTTTTCTCTCTCCTGGAGACAACCTATAAGTCTTCTGAATATTCGATTTGATAAGGGTTTATTTGTATATTTGGGACTTGGGCTATGACAGATAGTTTAGCTATGAATCTGATTTATGGTGAATGAGTGCTTTTGTTAACCTGGGGCCATGGCTCATTTTATATCAGTCTGACCTCTTGCGGGACTAGAACTGAGTAGTTAAGGGCAGTCACTTGGGGCTGTCCAACTTACAAGACAGACACCCAATAAAAACCCTGCACACCTAGGCTTGGGTGAGTTTCTGTGGCTGGAATTTCTTCATACATCTTGTCATATACCACACGTGTTGCTGGTAGAATTAAGCAGTGTATGTCACTCCAAACAGGAAAGGATAACAGTAAGCTTGTGCTTGATTTCTTCTGGATTCCACCTAAGGCATTTTTCCTTTTCTGATGTTAATTTTTCTTTTCTCTGTAATAAACCATAAGCATACTATAAGAGCTTTTCAGAATTCTGTTACTCCTCCCAGGAAATCATGAAACTCAAATGTGTTCTTGGGGACCCCCAACACTCTTGGGATTCTTCGGTGAAGGTAACTCAACAGATTAGTCTTTGTTTTGGGATTAACAAAAACCTCTTAACCATTAATTTTCATGCAGGAGGTTTATTAGAACTACAATCTATAAGTTTGTGAGGAAGGCATGACTGGTTACAGCTAAATGTTGAACCAGCATTGTTGCAGCAGAGTGCCCAGGCAATCTATGGGAGGAGGTAGAGATGGAAGAGCCCTTCAGAAATGTCTGGTATCGAGTCACAGAATGAGCCAAGTTAACGCCACAAGGACGAGTTATTGTGTATGAGCAGTCCCTCAGGAGTGTAACATTGAAGGATGTACATCACTTTGACCAAGGACCAGTCCAAGGAATAGATGTGTGCATTAAGTCATACTCCTGTTGTAGCCCATCTGTCTTGCCCATGGGGATGGTATGCTTTATTTATCATTGCCATAGGTTATCTAAAATGGAACAATATCTGCTATATCTAGGAAGGGAAACACATTGATAAATGACAAAAAGCAGCTCTTTAGTTGAGATATCCTTGTATAAGAGTTTTCAGCTCCTATAGAACATGCTATACAGACAATGGCTTATGGTGACTAAGCCACTTAGTCTCTGTCTTGTGATCAACAGCAGCTCATGGACTCTGGAGAAAATAGATTCTGGGAAACAGGGATCAACTAATGTATCTTCGAGTTTTCTGAAAAGAAAGACGATAGGATGGTAAAAAACAAAAACAGACAAACCCCAGCTTTACTAAATTGCATGAGTGCAATTGCAGGTCTCTAGTTTTCACACATTTCCTTTTCTCAGGTTCACTGCAAGACTATAGTCCACTCAGTGATGTCCTAATAACTTTGAGAATAATAAAGGGTAATAACTTAGAGAGGGTACCAATGGAAGCCTCCTTCAGCAGAGATTTCCATATGCCACGTCATTACATAAATCACCTGCTGTCCTAAAAATAGCTGCACTTGCTTTATGTACTATCCTTCTTCAGCGTTGACTAGATTCCATGATACTATTTCTGAATAATTAATAGAATCAGATTTTATATAACGATTGTCAAAAATTATATACAGCCTCGTGATTCAAAGGGGCATGGTTGACAAGGCCTCTGCTAGTGGGTAAGTCTGTGTCTATGTCCAGGAAGACGCTCTAATATTACAATTAGGAGGCGAGCTTTGCCATATAGCATTTCCTCACTTGATTTTAAATGTCATTAGTTATCTGAATTCGGTTTTTCCTTTTATAAAAATCCTTTTAAGGGACTTCCCTGGTGGCACGGTGGTTAAGAATCCGCCTGCCAGTGCAGGGGACACGGGTTCAAGCCCTGGTCCGGAAAGATCTCACATGCCGCGGAGCAACTAAGCCCGTGCGCCACAGCTACTGAAACCCGCGTGCCTAGAGCCCGTGCTCCGCAACAAGAGAAGCCGTTGGAATGAGAAGCCCGCGCCCCGCAACGAAGAGTAGCCCCCGCTCACCACAACTAGAGAAAGCCCGACTGCAGCAACAAAGACCCAATGCAGCCAAAAATAAATAAATAAAATAAATAAATTTATATTAAAAAAAATCCTTTTAAGAAATACTACAAAATACGGAGTAAACGAAACATGTTCACTGATAATCCTGTTGCAAAACGGTGACAGATTGGAAACAATGGACCATGTTCACTGATAATCCTGTTGCGGAACAATGACAGATTGGACGTTTTTGAAGAGTGACCCTGCAACTCTGTGTCAGACTGAAAGGAAAATCCCCCAACCCTCTCACCACGATTTTCTATACTTGTGCTTACTATAATTCTCCACCAAAATACACCTCACTCTACTCTCTGTATCACAGAGCATCTGCTGAGCCACAGCTGCTGGTGTAATGTCAAAGACCCCTGAGGATCTGTGGGACTTTATCTGCCATGAAACATCAGATTTTATGGACTGGCAGCTAGCCTTTGGGGTGATGCACAGTAGATGCTGTCGAGTCTTTCTCATGATGGGATATCAAACATTTCATTAGGAAGAAGACCAGATAAACCAATGACATTCATTATTGATAATTCCTTGGCATTTCCTTTCTCTCTTTCCCACTTTCTGCAAGTGGTAATTTCTGTGCTTCTTGATCTCTTGGAAGTCATTTGGCAGGGAAAAGGCAAAAGAAGACGTAAGACTGGGGCTTCCCTGGTGGTGCAGTGGTTAAGAATCCGCCTGCCAATGCAGGGGACACAGGTTCAAGCCCTGGTCCGGGAAGATCCCACATAACCGTGGAACAACTAACCCCCTGAGCCACAACTACTGAAGCCTGCGCACCTAGAGCCTGAGCTCCGCAACAAGAGAAGCCACCGCAGTAAGAAGCGTGTGCACCCATATATATGGAATTTAAGAAAAAAAAATTGTCATGAATAACCTAGGGGTAAGACAGGAATAAAGACACAGACCTACTAGAGAATGGACTTGAGGATATGGGAAGGGGGAAGGGTAAGCTGTGACAAAGCGAGAGAGAGGCATGGACATATATACACTACCAAATGTAAGGTAGATAGCTAGTGGGAAGCAGCCCCATAGCACAGGGAGATCAGCTCGGTGCTTTGTGACCACCTAGAGGGGTGGGACAGGGAGGGTGGGAGGATGGGAGATGCAAGAGGGAGGAGATATGGGGATATATGTATACGTATAGCTGATTCACTTTGTTATAAAGCAGAAACTAACACACCATTGAAAAGCAATTACACTCCAATAAAGATGTTAAAAAAAAAAAAAGCGTGTGCACCAAACGAAGAGGAGCCCCTGCTCGCTGCAACTAGAGAAAGCCCTTGCACAGCAATGAAGACCCAACGCAGCCAAAAATAAATAAATAAAAGTAAAAAAAAAATTATTTTAAAAAGAACTGAAATTAAAAAAAAAAGAAGACTGTAAGACTGATTGACTTGATTGTGTTTCAAAAACTAAAGCCCATGGGGTAACTAGAAGGTATGTGTGGAAGAGCTAATAAGAGAAGGAAGTTGAGTGTCTAGGAAGTCTGAGGATGGAGGAGTGCTTATAGGTTCTGGGGGAGCAGGAACCCAGTCCTGAGCCCTGGCAAAACTCTATGGAAACAGAAGACCCTTTCTATTGTGGCTGTAAAAGGAGCTGAGCTGTCAGATAAGAAGCCCCAGATTCCAACATTTCATTGTGGTGTGAATGGCAGAATTGCTGCACTTGAGTGTCCACTGGTCCAGTAGTAACCTCTTTGAACAGGTAACTGATAACCAGTGCAGCTCCTCCTTGTAACCGTATATACTCCTGGAATCTGGATAGCTCTGGTCTGGAAGACTTGTGGAAATAATTTCCCAAAGTAACTGATTTGCAATTTCCTACCAGCCTGGAGGGAATGAGGACTTTAAAATAAATTTTCTTTGCCTATAGAAAATAAAAATGTGATGCCATGCCAGTACACATAGACTAATATCTGCTACATCTGTTTTTATAAATTTTTTTTCATTTCCTCTTTGTAGCCAAGGTTCCTATCATACTGCTTGGTAACTATTACATGCTGAATAAATGGTTGCTGAATCAATGAAAGATTTTTAAAGTTCTTTATAATGACACCATTCTGTTTTATGCAGTTGTATGGCATATGTTATTTTATAAGTCCACCATCAATTAACAAGTTTCCATTTACATTCTTTGGAAAATAAAAGTTGGTATTTTACTTAGCTTGCATGTCTTTAAATTTCAGTGGTTTTGTACAGTTTTTCATAAATTTATTAGTCATAGGATTTTTTTCTTTTGAAAATTATATGCTCTTGCCTTTTGACCATCTAATATTGAATTATGTATTCTTTTCATGAATATTTCTTAGAATCCTACCTATTAATATATAATAATTTTGAAAATTTTTAATTTGTCTTTTGCAGTTTATTTTTGATAGTATCTTATAATATTTTAGAACGTTGCATTATCCTTTTAAAACTTAGAGTACAGAAACTTACAAAGAAGAAAGTAAAATCTCATAAAGTTACACCACTAAAAGTTAACAGCTTTTATCATTTTGGTGAATATTTTTCTAGACTTCTCCCATAAGTTTTTCGAGTTTTGTCCAATAGAGGTTTTAAATGAGTATTTAGTCAAATCTACCTATATTTAAATCGTTGGCATTTGCTTTACTTATCAGAACATTTTCTTAATCCCAAGACTTTGTACCCACGTTTTCTATTGAATAACATGGCTTAATTGTTCCATTTGTCATTTTAACCATATGCAATATATATTTTTTTGGTTTACAGAATGAAATCAAATTATTAGTCATTTATTTCTAAAGTTAGTTAATGATATTTATTACATAATCATTTTTTTCTACCAGTGATTTATGATGCCCAAATTATCAAATTTTAAGTGTTCTATACACCACCGTCTCATTCTGGACTTCTTTTGATTTGTAAATGCATCTGCATTCCATTTCAGCGTATGCTGCCCCAAATACTTCCACCACTTTCCCTCCATGAACTTCATTTTTCTGGATCTTGTCTATAATTAATTTGTAGATATATTTGGAACTTTTTCACATTGTCCCCAAAGTAATTATTACATCAATTACTCTGTCATTAATTGGAGCAGAATCAATGTTTTAAATACTATTCTATCTTTCTTTCCAGAAACATGCTAGGGTTCTACAATTATACACGTATTTTATTATGATCCCTTTAAAAGTATTATGACTTTCCTCAAAGTTCTTATTATGATTAGTCATAGGCATTTTATATATAGTTATTTAGAACTGCAATTGTAAGTGGGGTCCATTTTTCCTTTATATCTTTTTATTTATTTGTTTTCCAAATTTTGCCAATATCTGGGAACGATCCTAATTTTTCTTGTTTATCTTGCTCTTTGATTAGCAGTTAGTTCCTGGAATCCTTTAAAACTGTGTCACTTTCATGGAAGGATCTTCCTGCTTTGCTTTTCTTGAGCCTTTTCTCCTAGAACAAATACAATGAAAACAACAAATGAACAAAATTTTAAAAACATGGAAGAACATCTATGTCCTGCATTCTTTAGAGCAAGCTGATTCTTGGTACACGAGTTTTGATAAAAACCATGACACCTGCCCTGAGAATCTGAGTAAATTTTGTGAAGAAAAAAGCCAAGCTCCCAGTGCAGAATCTGGAGAGGAAGCTTTGATAGTTTCAGCGCTCACCCTGGACCCCATGGTATTGGCTAACGCGGTCTTTGGAAGAGGCAAGAGAAGTATATAAAAGTTTTTAAACCCTTTAAAATTCTTGATCACTTAAAAATACCAATAACTACCACCCTTTTCCTCTCTTTTCTTAACACTTTCATTCCCCGTGAAAACCAGATGGTCTGAATCTTACAGGCAGCACAAAAGGACTCCTTCCCCTGAGATATATTGTCATCTGTGGAAGGGGCTCTTGTCCTCTCCCTGATCTCCCTCAGATCTTCAGCGACCAGGACAGGTCACAGACCTACAGACACCAGCAATCTCAGGGAGGTTACTGCCCTCACTGGGCTGAGGGTTGCCAGGATCTGAGGGATGAGAATCTGGTGTCTGGATCTGTGCATGTTTGTGAAACACTTTCAAGGGTATGTGTGTCACACTAGGGCATTAATTTTGGCTTCTTCATCACTAAACCTACTGGTGCCTACTGGTGTTGGTCTGTGTGATCTAGGGAGGCTTGGGGGAGTCTGAGGTCACTGTGAGGACCAAACGCACTGACCACCTGGAGTAGTCTAGGTGTAAGCCTTCTCCTGGGGACAATGACCCCACATGGTGCCTTGCCCTCCTAGCACGAACCTATATCACACAGCAACCCTAAGGGAGAGCCAGCGGTTTACTCACTCCTTTTCCACATCCTGGATGGAGTCAGGCAGAGGCTGATTCCTGGTTTCAGGAAGGAGTGGAACAACAAGGCCAGCGAGGATGGAGCAGACTCCATAGATGATCCAGGGTAGGTGGGGAGAATATACTGTTAGGATCATCAAAAGGGGAGCCAGGGCTGCCCCAATATTAGAAGCAATTCCCGTGAATCCTGAGGCTGTTACCCTTGGAGTGCAAACAACAATACAAAAATAATCTGGTATAAATCCATACAAGTAATTTGTGATTTATTATTTTGCTTTGATTATGGGAGACACCTCAGCAATATTTAGACACATGAAGGCTGATGACGTACTCTTACATTTAAATTATGCTCTTATTTGCTCACAAATTTTTCAAGTGCACAAGTGCATTAAGATATGTTTTCATTATTGAAAAAATACTCTTACCAACAGCACCTACCCTTTAATGGTTCAGCA